TCTCGTTCTCTCCGTCGACCTATCGATGTTTGGTTGTCTCTTCACCGCTATGATGGGAGCGATAAATCCTCGGAGGCAGGTTATCAAGGAGAAATAACGAGGAAAATCTCGCGCGCGTGCAATTTTAGCTCGGAACTCGTTTCGATCGATTAAGAAACGATGCGAAATGATAAATTATCAACGTTTCCGTAACGCGATACCATTTCCACGATTCCTTCATCGTACAGCGCCGTAACCAACAGCACCGATAGGAGGAAACGATCGAATGTTCGTTTATTTTTTATTTTATTTTTTTATTAAAAAGGAAATTACATTCCAGCAAGCGAAGGCAACCGTGCCGTTTGCCAACGATTTAAAATTCTTCGTCGAGGATGCGAACGTCTCGTACGACAGGAAACTATCGATGAAAGATTGGCTGATAGAAGAAACCGCGATCGAATCCACCGAGAACCCGATGCGCGAGTAAATACATATCCACGGATGGAACTGTTCGAAGTTCGAATCTTGTAATTCTAGGTTTCTCCTTCTGTTCGCGAACGAGACACGGCCACCTGCCCCGCGAATCTTTTGCATTCTTCGATACGATCAGCCCTTATTCTCTACGCGAACTATAAAAATGCAAAACGCTACGTGTACCTCGTCTACTTGCTCGCCTATACGAGCAAACACGATCTCCCTGGTCGTTCATTTCGCGAATACGAGGAAGACTGGAGCGAAATTGGAGGCGCCGATGAACACAATTTGCCAGAGTGGTATTTCAAGTATATTCGGCCAAGTTTTCGACGATACACCGTATCCCGTGATATCGAAGCTCGAGAAAATTACACGGAGGCACTCCGCGTCGCAGGGTATCCCTGAAAAACCTGTAGGTACATTTATCGACGATGAAAATCGAGGTCACGCGAACCGCGAGCAATGTGCACGCGCGATTCACTGACGACAATGAACCGCTGCAATGTGCAGTTACACGCGTAACCGCGCATCCAGTTGGTCGCATCATTTCCACCGTGTTCGCGCTTTTTCGCTCGCTGCCCTTTGGCTGCGGGAAAATACCAACCGAACGAAACCCCTCCGAAAGAACCGAGAATCCAACCGATTCGAAGCGAGGAACAACGATCGAGCTAAGGCGAGAGGCAAATTGACGAGTCGAGACGAGGAAGGGAATGCGGGAAAGCTCGGGCTTTCACGACTCGTTTCTTTTTATTTTCTTCGAGATAGGGCCGGCTCCCTGTTATCGACTTTGTCGAAAAGAACGGGCAAAAACAAGAACTAGAACGCAAGTTTCTAGAGGGTACAGAGAAAACGAGATTCGGCGGCTAACTTTGATTCATTCCGCGGCAGACGGAAACGAGTTCTTGAAAATTAGAGAAATAATGAAATGAAAATGCCCTAAAGGTACTCGGAGCACGTGTCGTCAAAGATGTAGGGAAGCACATAGAACCGAAGAAGCACGGTGGAATAATTAAACAGACGTAATAGAAGCACGCTTAACGCGCGCCTTCGTAAGCTAAAAACTGGTCGACGTAGGAAGCCGTATTAAATTTCGCAAAAAGCCTACATTAACATCTAGCATGAAAATTTATGGGAAACGCGGGCCGACGTTTGTAAATCGTTAAGTATGGCGCAGCAGGTGGCGGTTCGCGATCAGTTAGTCGTGAGATATCCTGTCACGTCATTTTTTAATCTCTCCAACTCTTGCGTGTGCGCAAAGTCTGTACATTTACTTCTGCGACGATCCTTTTATCGTAAACAACTCGGACAGAAAACGCAGCATTTCGGAGCAACGATTGTGCGTCCAGTTTTCTAAAATAGGTTTGAAAAGTATCGTGTTAGAACGCTGCTAGAGAAATCCTCCAAGCACCTGTTGATCCTTCTCGTTAAAGTTTGAAGGAGACCAGGAACCGACCTGGAACTAGCTTGGACACGCGAACTGAAATAGCCAGGTGGTGCTGACACAGGAAAAAACTAGCGACGTTATTACCCCGCGAACAAACACGACTTCTCTTTACTGTTTGCGATAGACACACATCGCCCGTAATCATTCGAACAGTTATCGTATCCTTACTTTAACTAATACGCCAAGTGTTTTCGAAACGGTCGCGCACAGTCTCTACGTATAATATTTGTTCGCAACACCGTGCCACCGTTCCTCAGAAATTTATTCAAGCTTCACGTGACGTTCACGATTCAAAAACAGTGCGCGCATTCGGTTCGATCAAAAAATATTTACACGAACGAGACCGTTTTATCTCATCCGGTCCAACGACAACCCTGTATGTATTTCAACCGTATCTGCGCTCGACTTTCTCAGCTTTCTCTCGTTTTGTCGTTAAACACAGAGAAATAATATACGGACTGCGACAAACGAGGATTATTCGTTTAAGAGATTCCAAAATGAACACTCGTTTATTTTATATTCCACCGTTTCGAGTGTTACTTACGATTCTTCGCGCAACAGAGTTTAGGGGACGCTGTTCCAAAATTTCCCTCAGCAAACATCGAAAATCATACGATAAATCTAACAGCCGATTAACGCCCGAGTTCTGATCAATTCCCGTCAACGGAGGTGTTATATTTGGACTGGCGAAACAATTTAACGGGGCGCGATTAAAATTATCAAAGGCCGCACACCGACGCATGGACATGAATATCCAAACGTGAACGAAAGAGAGAGAGAGAGAGAGAGAGAAAGCAACCTAAATCGCAATAATTAACGACGAAAACGTGGTGGAAGCATCTATTATAATCCCATCGACGAAACGCATTTGTCGTAATAATGAACCGTCATTACCCTTTAACGAACCTTATACATTCTCCGATCTGTGTTCATCCAAGTTGCAGCAAAAGTCAGTTAATCAACGAAACATTGTCGCCTCAACTCTAATTAAATCTCGTCGCACCCAACCGATTCCGTGGATCGAATGCGATATTCTAGCGCTCTACGGAACTTTTACCGCCAACTTTTCTAGGGAACGATCAAAGCCAGGGGATAAATTAATAAAATTTTCTCGCGCTTCTGTCACGACAACTCTATAAATAACGATCATTACCCCGTCGCTTTACTTTATCCAGAACATTTTAATCAGGAAAATACATCGCGACACTCGCGTATGTAGTATCGTTTTACTTCAGCGCGAGTGCATAAACGCGGCAAATACCATTACTCGCGATGGACTTTCTTCGAAAATTTCTCAACGTGGTCGATTAACTCGTTTCGATGACGGAAACCTGATATCAGCTTCGCCCTAAAACCATCGTTTTTAAGAAGGATGTACGTATCTTAAAACTATCTAGCTTTGAATCTCCTCCTACGACGAAGCTATTGCCGTCGTACTACGTCTTCCTAGAAGTTGTATAAATTTTGTAAACACAACACTTCTGCCTACCATATGAAATAGCATAAACATCGACGTGCCTGTTTTCAGAGGGATATCCTGTCTTGCGTAACGCTAAAAATCGTTATTAAGAAGAAACGAAAAGTTTTGAAAATTACAATTAGTTTGAATCAATTTTGTTCGCGAGAAACTCATGACATTTTAAGGCCTTTTCTTGTTCTCTCTAACCTACCTACCGAAAGCAGACCACGAAAATTTGATATTGAAACGTAACGCAGGCTGCCATGAATTACGTAAAAGGAGTCCAATCTATCCAGCCTTTTTACTTCGTATGAAACTCCGGATTAGATTACGACCAATAAAAATCGAGCCACGAAAGATCTGCGAAGCCACTGGAATTTGGCTGGCGCTCGAACGGCGAGCAGACGCGACCACCGACCGCGCAACCAAGATCATTCTGATTGTCAGCTGTCCACGCAAAAACGAAACGAAAATACTATTGACATAGATTACGTCGGGCAGAAATAGAGGAGCCACGCGCCCAAGTTTCCTCCTCGGCCGGAAACGGAATGGTTCAAGTTTTCAACGGTATTTACTCGAGATGGACGCTCGAGGATCGATCGAAATTCGGAGCACAAAATTCGCGCGCGCTATTACTGAATTCGTATCGAGTCAGCTCCCATGGGACTATTAATATTTCCGACCGACTTTATGGATCTGGATCTGTTCTACCCAGGTGGAAACTTTCGGACGGATCGTTCCGTAATTTTTTCATCACCTTCGCTGAAAGATCGCCGGATCGACGTGCAATATTAAAAGGAGCGAGAGAGTTTTCAGCGGCAGGATGCACAATTTTACAGTCTTGAATAAGGAGGGCTGCATCTTTCAAGAGTATCGCGGCGTACCTCTTGTAACGCGAAGTACGTTCTAATTTCAGAACTAAATCATTTCAAAATAGATCTGTACTTGCACGTCGCGAATCGAGCGTCTGTACAACCTCGGACGAAACGTACAACGAAAAGACCGACCGTTCCTATCCAAGTATTCGAATTCGAAGAAAAATCAAACGTAAATTGTAATCGCTAATAACAGAAATTTCTCCCGTCGAACCGGATCCATAATTATCACGAGTAAACCCAATGAAAGAAAGTAAGTGCTCCGAATGAAATATGCTTCGGTCGTTCCGCTGGCAGAAATGGGATGGCTCGAGTCTCTCCTCTCAAAAAACTTGAAACAGGACGGAAGAATTTAATCTGCGGCGACGTAGCCAGGCGTTTCCGAGGAATTAAAAGCAAACACAAACGTTCACGACGGACGAGCCAAGAAGTCGCGTTGTTCGGGGGCAGGTTGGTCGCTTTAATTCGCAAGAACGAAGAAAAAAAGGCTACGCTCGCGATAAAACATCAAGGGAAAGGAAGCAAGCGCAAGAAATCGTCGACGAGCTTTCGAGGTCGGTGCTTCTGCCGCAGATATTTAGAGAAAACCGCGTGGCTCTTCTATATAAGTAAAAGAGTCGTCTGTTGAAAATATCACCGGAGACCGACAGTTTATCGAGAATAAAAGAAACGTTGCATGGATACTCGATATATCCTAATATCGTTATCGTAATTTCGTCGTAAATTTTCCGAGCTACGAGTTATCGATGAAAAGGGAAAAAAAACTCACCCCAGAGTGGTCATAGTAACGATGGTGTACCAGAATGCAGCAGGAATCGAGGTGAAGTTTGTTCCATCGACGTTCTTCTCCGCGTAGAACATCACGGTGGCGAATATGATGATGGCCATGGCCAGGGAGAAAACGAGAAAGCCGAGCTCCGAGGCGCACGACTTCAACGTGTAACCGAGGATCCGCAGACCCTGCGAATGCCTGGAGAACTTGAAGATCCGGAACACACGAAAGACGCGCAACGTAACGAAAGCACCGGATACGTCGTCGTTATCGGTGATACCGAGGCCGATGTAGTACGGTAGGATGGCGACCACGTCGATGATGGACATGACTGATCGCGCGAACTTGCACCGACTCGGAGCCGCGAACAGCCTCAACAGATATTCCGCGGTGAATATCATTACGCACGCGGTGTCCAAACAGAAGAAGACGATCTTGTAACGTTCGCCGCATGAAAGCGTACCGGCGCGTCCCGGACGATTACCGCACGGCACGGTCTCGACCACGTTCGCCAGCACGCTTACGGCAATGAAGAAACCGGTCACGTAGTAGAACACCAACGCGGCCGTCGAGATGTGAGGATTTTGGAACGCCCTCCACATCTTTTGCCTGATATCCAGTAGCTGCTGCAGAGTTTGATCCCCGTTCTCGCTCAGCTTGTCGTCCATCAGCCTCTCCGCGTTCTCGCGCTTGCGGTCACGGTAATCCTCGTAGCAGCAGTCGCCGATCACGTCCGGCAATATGCCGAAGAACGCCAGCTCTTCGTCGTAGCTGGTCAAACATTCGTGCTTCGGATAGTGAAGCTTGCCGGTACGGTAATAGTTCAATATGTGTCTAAAGATATCCGGATCACGGTCGAAGAAGTACTCCTTGCTCTCCTCATCGTAAAAGAACTCCCGCTCGTTCGAGCCGAGAAGAGTGTCCGGATACTTCTCGAGGGTGTTCCGCCACGTCTCGAATCGACGCCCGCTCACGTTTATCAGAAGCTTCTCGTCGTCTGCCTTGCGACGATCCTTGGGGATCGGCGGCGGCGGAAGGGGATGCGTGGCAATCGGCACCCAACCAATCGCAGCCGCGCGGGCGAACGGAAGCCACGCTGCCACCGATGCCATCGCGGTAAGCGATGTTTGTTACCCGACACACCGAATTTCCCCCCTTCTTTTCTCCTCTGCGTACTCCTGTTAGCCGAGTAATTGCGCGGATACCGAAATGTTTGTGTCGTACGCGTCCCGTATCGAAGCCTCGATCTCTTCCGAGAAACCACGGTTCCTGGAATTCCGGTTCGATAATGTTTATGCCTTGCCGCGTGCGTATATCATCGTGAACCCTTTGTCTCTTCCGTTCATTCCCGTCGGATTTTCTTCGTCGACGCGAGCAAAGTACCGACCCGTCTTAGCCGCGAGCCCCGGAATCCCCGGAGAAAACCGCTACGACACACCTCCGAGCTCCGATACGACCGATCGCGAGAGTAGAATAAAGTCCTCGACGGTCTCTCTAACGAAGCTGCCCGCGCTCGAGGCTCGTCGCCATTCGAGCGAGTCGTATTAGCCGATCGTGAACCGACGGCGTTCCCACCAGCGACGCGTCGACGACGACGACGAGCACGACGTCGACAACGATACCGCGATCCTAAGATCGAACACGACTACCAAGTCCGTCATCGTATCTCACCATTCCTTCGCCGTTGTCGCACGGTTCACGGCACTCGACTCGCGACATTACGAACAACGACTCGAACCACCAAAGGAACGCGAGCACCGCGGCAGCCAATCGCCTCCTGGCAACGTGCCTTCCACCATCATCGATACGGTTCTCCGTGCTCGTTCGCCCGTCTTCCGCTCTTTTCTCTCTCACTCTCTCTCTCTCTCTCACTCTCTCTCTCTCTCTTTCACTCTCTCTCTCTCTCTCTCTTTCTCTCGCCCACACTTTCTTCTGCTTCCTCTTCTTCTCTCTCTCGCTTTCACAGCGACGTCCAGATCGGTATCTAGCAAGCGAGATCTTCCACCTGTTCTTCCGTGTTCGAATTCTCTGTCCGCCGTCTCCTCGCGTCGCGCGATTAAAAACCGCGGCACGAGCCTCTCTCCGAAGTGTTTACGAGAATCATCGAACCGATCCCACTACATCGTCGAGTACCACCTGTAAAAAGGAATTTTCCATTCGGTTCGTGCTAGAAGCGAACGGACTTCAATGACACGCCCCGGCACATTTTCGTTTCGTTTCTTCTCGGGGCGACCGAGGAACCCGCGACGCTTTAATTTATCCGCGGATCGACGTTGGGAGAGGAGGCTCCCTCCCTCTTTCTCCTTCTCCCTCTATTAATTAACTTCCGTCATCGTTGTTTGTCTTTCCCGAAAGAGAATCAACCGCTGCACACCGATGGTTCTTTCGGCGCGAAATCCGAACTCTCCGTCACCGACTCTTGGTTAAAACGGCTCGCACTCGACCCCCAGAAGAGTCGAAATTTTTCTTCGTTATCGCTACCGATACGAGAAAGAAAAAAGAAACGATTTCGCTGTCTCGACGCAGTTTCCTCTACGTATGCCGCGAGAGCTCCTCTCTAACGGTTTTGGAACATCGTCCGCGAAACGCCTGGCTCGCGCATGGGTGCGACTGATTCGGTAGCTCGTATCGTTCTCGGCACGCGCGATATTATTATTTTTTTTTAGCCGCTCGTACCCGTCACGGTACACAACACGCACCGACCACGCTGACTCCGTTCGCGATACGTCAGCCGCGGCGTGGCACGCGAATCGAAAGCTTGGACGATCGCGTAGATCCTCTCGTTTTCCTCTCGCGACAGACGGCACGTCGCGCGCGTCACGGTGATTCCTTCCTCCCTTACCACCCGAATGCGAGAACCACCACGACGATTTACGGAGAGTCCGCTACACCGCCACCTCGCCCGACGAGGATGATTTCCGTCGTTGCTTGGACGCGTCGACGAATCCGCCTCCTCCCTTTCGCGGCTCGATCATCTCTCGAGCCCTGTCGGCGTCGATGGTAAACCGGGAATGCCTCGAGAGCCTCGGGAGAGAGCACTCGTCTTTCTTTCTAAGAAGCTACTTCTACTCCGAATCCGTTATCTCCGGCTTGTAGACCGGCTTTCGGCACTGCCCAATAAACACCGTGCAGAGTTCCGGGAGGATGAACGGGAAGCCGGGTGCTCCCTGCTCGTCCCAGCGAAACAACCTACCGTCTCTATGTTTACAAGGTTACACAGTCCTTTGAACGCGCAGGATCTCGAGCTTTTCCTCCAAGTATCCCGGTTTCGATCACGCTGCCCTTTTGTCCGCGTAGACGTCAAGCAGACTCGACTTATCCAAGATCTCGGGCATGTCTTTCGGAGCGGCACGATGTCAGGATGGTCGTCAGCGTCGCAAGCCAATCCCCTCGCGGATCATCGTCCGCGTGAACGCGGAAACGGCGAGGCGTCTCGACGAGAGTGCCGAGGGATGCGAGATGCGAGATGCTGAGAACGCGCGCTCGCTCGCGCGCGCGCGCGCGCGTGTGGCTAGTCGTGCTTCTCGTGTGTCTCGTATGCGTGTGCGTGTGTGTGCGCGTCGGCACGCTCGCAAGCTGGGCGGCCGAACACGTTCGAGCTGGCTCTGATACCCGCTCGCGCTCGGTGGGCGACTCGCGACTGAGCTGCTCGCGGTGCGGTATCCGTCGCTAGCTCGGTCGCGCGGTGGCGAGGTGGCTGCCACCTCTTCCGGAAGGCAAGCGTGCTGCTCTCGAGCCTCGAGCCTCGAGCAGCGACGCAGCGCCGAGCGAACGGTCACCTAGCCAAGGTCCAAATTGATTTTTACGTCGCGACGCCGGTGGCGACGCGGGACGGCGTCCCGACGCAGCGGCAAACCGCTTCCCCGTTGCCCGGGCAACCCTCAACTATGACGTCATAACCTCCCTCCTTTTGCGCCACCCTCGCCTTCAATCACCCGTTCCGCTCATCCTCTTTCTCTCCGCGACCCTCTGTCCTGTGCTTCTCGGCCCCGGTAACCGACATCGAATCTCTTTTCTCTCCTTTCGTCCAACTTTCGCCTATCTATTTATTTGTTTGCTCGACGCTGAGCTCCGAGTCGCGAGTCACGAGTCGCGAGCTCACGAGTGGCTGGCTGACTGGCTGGCTGGCTGACTGGCTCCCTTTTCCTTCATCTGCGTGTGCGGCCGTATCAGAGATGTGCGCCTACTCGCGAACCTTTTCCATCTCGGATCTCTTGCAGCATCCCTTCGCGACTGGGAATTTCACCACGACCAAAGATAACATATGATTTTCTACGCAAGAATGGATCTTGTCGCGGTACGAGGATACAAATTACCGAAATCGGTTCACCTAAAAACCAATATTATAAACGGTGAAAGAAAACACTGGTAAGCACGGCTTGAAATCTGCAATCGCCATGTATTGGACGGAGAAACATGTGGAGAATTTAATTTACGTATGGTTGAAAAGAGGAAAAATTATCGACCCGTCGATGAGTCGGCGGCGAAGGTCTACGTCATGGTATGGACCGGCATAAAATTTGTAAAAGGGAAAATCAACATTATTCGCATTTATATAACGTTAATCATCGAGCAAATAGAAATGCCTAGAAAAAACTTGGAACCGTTGCAAGCAAAATATTCTAATCCAACGGACGCGTACTGTGACCGCGCGAAAAGCTTCCTCGATTGTTCGAAATTGATTTATTTATCGAGTTTAAAGTGAAAACTCGTAATCCAATTTCGAATGTGTTGCAGATTGCGCGAGGACTTGGCATTCGCGGGCCATTTAAAATGCAAAAAAAAAGCAGAACCCGCTAAAACTAATACGAGAGCAAAGAAGACGTATACCTTGGTCTACGCGAATCTCTTGGACCACTTTGTATGGACCAAGAGAACGAGTGGACCGGTGTGCCTCGCCGCCAGGTAAATTCGTACCACTAATGAACGTGCGAAAGAATGCAACCTGAAAATCCAAGTATGCACCCTCTAGGACGAGGAGTAACGTCCGCTTCAGTGCAACTAAGCTCGCACTTTCTTTGCTTCTCTATCGCCGCGAACCCTTTAAACTTTGTTCAATTCCCGGTTCGTAATTTCTTCGATTCCTATTAGAACTTTGTGTGCCGTGTCGCTATCAAGCTTCAAGTTGCATCTGTTAAAGAATAAAAGAATAAACGTTAAGAAACTGACAATGAGTGCATCCAGAAAGACCACCGCTCACTAAGTCGGTCAGTGGGAGCTGATTTTAATACCAGTGGTGCTATAGGTACCTGCGTTGCGTTTCCTTTCTTTTATTATGCATTTATGAAAAATAAAGAATAATTGATTTAAAGGTATCGGTAGCGCTATCTAGTAGTAACAATGAGAACTATTTTCACTACAATCTTGGACGTTTTCCCACCGATGGCGCCACTAATTAAATCAGTAGCCATCTAGCAGCCACTGGGGGAACTATTTTCACTACAAACTTGGACGTTTTACCACCGATAGCGCCACCAGTGTACCAAACAATACGCCATCTAGCGGTAACAGTGGGAACTGTGTTCTCTACTAATTTGGCTGAAGGTTCCATAATCAGAACGTGTGTCTGTGGGGTTACACACACATATCTATAAACGCACGCTTCGCACATGTATCGCAACACACATATCGACTCACACTTCGCGTATATACTTATTTGTAATTGGCAATTACGTTTAAACCTTGTCGTCGTTGATTATGATTTTTATTTTTCATGTATTTCATTTTTCCTTTGTTTCCTTTTATTTTAAACATTCCCTTAGCATCCATCGTACAGTTCAAACGTGTTTTCCAACCAGCTCTTTCATTCTATTTGTTAATCTTGTTATTAATGTTATCGTTTACGTCTGTAACGGGATAATGACTACGAACTTGGAAGGAGATCCTTAGATTTGTATTAACAGGACCAACTGGGAACAACACCAACTGATATCCAACATCAGAACGGATGACATAAATCCCCCCTACTTTTTTCCGCGCGAATCTTTAGAAGTTTATGCGCAAGCGCGATAAACCGCCGGCTTCAGCAAGTTGCTAAATCAAGGTAAATGTAACGTGTTTTGTTGAGTAAACTTAAAATTGTGTGACCTGAGTTTGCTAATGAGTCGTAAATAACTGTACCAACGATAAAAACATAACTATATCATGGCTGATGAAACAGAACAGGTAAAAACATTTGGTTTGTAGGTATGAACACAAACCTAACCTATTATAACCAAACATATTTTCATTACAGGTTCCAGCAATAAATGTTAAAGAACCATTAGACCTAATAAGACTAAGCCTTGATGAACGAATATACGTTAAAATGAGAAACGAGAGAGAACTACGAGGACGGTTACACGTAAATATTTTGTCATGCGATATGGACATCTTTTAACTTACTTCTGATCTAATAAATGCATAAAAATGTTAATTGCAGGCTTATGACCAACATTTAAATATGGTATTGGGAGAAGCAGAGGAAACTGTAACTACTGTAGAAATCGATGAAGAAACGTATGAAGAAGTTTATCGCACTACAAAAAGAAATATTTCTATGCTATTCGTCCGTGGTGATGGTGTAATTTTGGTTTCTCCACCTAGTATGAGAGCTCCGTTATAAGATCTTTTAATTAGATATAAGTTATGTATAAATGACAACCACCTACAGTTCTACATTAATATTATTAATACTAGTGTATTAGTATGTAAGTTATATTACAGGTATATTATATTAAAACGAGTATATTCACTAAAAGATTAAAATAATACAAATTTTTCAAGTATAATGTTGTTTAAAATATTACTACCTTTTTAATTTAAAGAACTGTAATGTACTATGTTTTAACACGAAATTTTGAGATTGTGCTAGGTGTAGGACAAGGCTCTGTAGGTTTTATTATTTGTGTGCTAAGATCTGCGATTCTTTGATCTTTTAGTTTCATCAAAGTTTCAAGATGAACCACTTTTTGTTGAAGCGAATTTATAACTTCATTCTTTTCCTCTAGCTGTTGTTTGAGTTTGATGAAAACTTGTCTTGGAACAGTTTTATTCGCTATCTCGTCAGAATTAAGTATTGACTTGATTGCCTCTTTTCGAACAATAACAATGTTTAGTTTAATTAATCTTTCATACCAATGTCATATGTATCATTTGTCTATATGATTCAATACTTTTTATGATTTTTTGCCTACCTCCTTTTCCATCTTCCTCGTATGCAGAGTACAAAGAGTCTCTGTCGGCATTGCAATCTTTTAAGATTTTAATTCGTACATCGGTCAACACTTTTTCAATAACTCCCGGTTGCGAATTTGCTAATTGATAAATTACATCCTTTCCCAATTTTATGTCGAGCTTAGAAAGTACCTTGCGATTCAGGGTGCACCAATTAACTATCTTTTTTGCAGTGCTGTTCCCAGGTATGTAATTGTGTATGTCCACGTGTCTAGGATAATATCGTTTTAACAACTCGGCCATAAAAACTGAAATTTACCAGATGAAAGGTTTAACACATATCGATAACTGAATAGTTTCGCTAAAATCGACAATCATTTTTTCTTGTACCACCGTCAGAAAAATCTCGAGCAAGGTTTTTCTTTGGCCTGGAAAATGTCATTTGCTCGATCCAAATGTATATTTCCTCGAGGTTATCACCGGTTTCCGATGCGAGGCTCATATTTCGATTTTATTTGTGACGATAGAATCTGAAAATAACTTCTTTATACATTGAAATTTACTAATGACATCGTCGTGTATGTCACCTGTCAATCTGAAAGTTAGTAGACTGTAAGAAGACGTTATAAACAGAAAGTATTTTGAATGCAACTTCATTCTACTTCATCTGGTTTGAGAATCTTAACAGAATTACATTCTGGACATTTCATTTTCGTGTTGCGCGCTTGCATCAGACGAAGTAACGGTAAACGTCTTAAACGGAATGATGATACCGAAATGTGTATTGCGCCATATAAACGTATAATGCCGTAGGTTGCAATGAAGTAAAATTTAATAAATATGATGCACTTTTACAATCGGTTTCGTTGTTTTCATTATATTCGTAATAATTTGTCAGTTAATGAACCGATTCAAATTTCTAGTTTGCTTAGAGTGTATACAGTATCACAGTATCAGCAATCTTTAAATCTTTAAATCTTTACTTGTAAACATGTACAAGACTGCAGTCTTCGTATTCGTGATCCCCTTACTGTGAATGTTATCTATTTCTTCACTGCAACCCTTGTGTTTTCATTCCTTAAAAATAAAATCCATTCTATACATTTTTCCGAGTCTGTAATTTATGCACAAGTGAACAGTCAAATTCGAACTAAAACTGATTGTTCGATTGAAATAAAAATTGAGGTCAAAGAACTAAAATAACTAAGTCCAGATCAGCGTGAATTTTATAAATAAAAATACGCATATGAAGATGTAGACTGATTCATTAATGATGTTTTAGTATCGCGTTAAAATAAAAGGCTATAATCATATTTTTATGAATTTCAATTTACATACATATGTATACACAGTTTGCTCACAAGTGTTCGTATACGATGGCGAAATTCGTTTAACTCAATTTTATTGATATTGCGTGTATTTCGTTGATGTAATATTCAATGTTTCAACTTTAAAACGGAATAGGTTCGTATCGAATAAAAATATTATTCTAATATTATACTGTATAATAAACCTAACGATTTTCATTTATTCCACGTAAAGGAACATTCTTAGTTGATTTGAAACAATTATCCAATTCATTTCGCATCTCTCCTACTTTCTAATATCTATATGAATCCTACTCTAATTATGCGATTACATTTTTTAAACCGTTATTCTAATACAAACTAATAACTAAGAATACAAACATATAAAAAGAACATTGAATCGACCAAATTTTATTCTCGTATACGAAAACTCGTACGAGGCACTACAGATATTTGTATCGCGTACATTTTATGTTACATTTATTTTTATCTGTCTAAAAACATGTGGTATCGAGTATTTCAAGCATTAACGCGCAGGTGGAGGTAAAACTCGGATAAGTCGTCGACATAAAAGCCTCACAAGAAAGTTAAATTGGTGAAAGAAGTTCTCGGAAAACGTGATTGTATTAAAGGTAAACAGTAGTGCGTCACAGTCACCGAAGGTGCTGTAAGACAGTGAATTCGAGCCTGCGTTCACCCGTAGTACGGCATTTATAGAAAAGGCGCACGCCCGTGTTTCACCGTAAGGTTTGGAGGATCAGTGGCTCGCTCAGCTTCAGTGGCACAGTGCACGCACGAGGGATCGAACAGAAGGAAACGAAACTTCTTCGTCTTCGATAGTTTCCTTATTCAATTTCCGCAATCTGTTCGATTTAAAAATAAAAAAAAAAAAAATTATTGAAAAGTGAATTCCATCAGTCTCCTCGTAGAATTCGAACTATATTAGAAACGTTAAATTTAAAAACTATACATTCGAAAAATATATTAACTCCTCAACGATTGATGCGTCAAGTTTTCGAACCAGTTGTATTTAAAACTATATCGTCGTAAGAGTTTCTTGTGAACGGTGTATTGATTCGTAAAAATCGCCCGGTGTCCTCTAACTGGAGAGAAACCATGGCTGACAAGAATTATTCTAAGGGTAAGTGACTAAACATATATATATATATTCTATACAAGTTATCAACTTTGTGATTGATTTTTTGAGAAACTGAAGAAACTGAGAATTTCACATTTGGAGTTTCATCTTTTTATCATCGTTTCGGGAGATCATCCATGTGACCTTCAAGCGTCCTCTGGTCCAGATCTTTATATAGTGACATATATCTACGACTTTTTCATGGAAATATTCAAACGTATAGTCTCCCGCTAGAAAACAATTTGATAATCGAGATGCAATAATGCATAAATAAATTGAACAGCAAGAAAATTTTGTTTGTATATGCGAAACGATTGAAGGGGAGAGATTCGCGTCTGATGCAATTTTAAAACGAACTCGTAAAAACGCGCTTCGTGCACGTTTGCTATAATCCCACTGGTTGATGCAACTACAATCAACGGGTCGCGTAAATTTTCATCATCCTTGCGCATTGTTGTCTCATCTCTGTCATAGATATTACAAATCCGTGATTAATTTATCCTTTCATCTATGGGATTTTATCGTATCGACGATTTACAGTGTCTCGTATTGATATTCAGTTTCGTATACCATAATTCAGTTTATACATTTCTGTGTTGTTGTGTGATATTAGAACGTACGTTCTGTTTAACAGAAATGTAAATTTTATTTATTTAACGTATCGAATGTGTAACGTAGCAAACAATATACTAGATAATGTAATATTTTGTCGGATAGTCCTTTTATTTAATTACATGTCCCAATCGATCAGGCATATTTGAAGTAATTTTTTCCAAGTAATCAATTGCAATACACTTCCGAACTTTCAAATTCACATTTCTGTTAAACAGATGTACGTTCTAACATATCACACAACAAAAGATATATCAACTGAATTATGGTCAGGTGTAGATTGCAATAATGAATAAAGTACTATACCGTTCGAATATTAATACGAGTCACTGTAGTTCAAATTTAATTATTAATCAAAATATAGCGATTTGTCGACCTTCGCAGAATCCAATTTAGATATTTTATTTTTGCATGTTACGTATTCAACAAGTGTGCGTGGAGGGGTAGTCTGGAACCATATTTTATGTTCCACTTGACCTATATTTTCAATGGAAATAACTGTGACCAATAAACAGCGACGAGAACACAAATAAAGAAAGGGCGCCTCGAGTGTTACAAATTACAATCATCATTATTGTTAGGATGAAATTTTAAAGATTCGTGAATCTATATTTGAACGAGTCAATTGATCAACATTTACCACGTTTATTAACACATTCGCGATCGGCAGGTATTTTATTACGTTTCTAATACCGAGTACCGACGAAAATAATAAAATTCTGAAGCTGAACATTGCAAATTTCTATCGTTAAGTTGAAGATAATAAAAATTACAAAATACGTTTTGAAATATCAATGTTGTGAATATGTAATGTATAAAATAAAAAGATTTTCATAATCAGGAAATAGAATTTGAAGTGATGTGAATTCACGTTAGCGGTCGCGATTGTGTTAAACTATCATTTTGGAAAATATATGAGTCAAATATATATTCCGAGTAAAAATAAATTTCTCAAATAATACGTTACTAGGTATAATATCGAAACGAAACTTTTATACAATTTCTCATTAAATTATTTAAAAATTAAAGAGTGCTGTAAGATAATATAAATTGTCGAGTACTCTATCAGATGTTTTCCACGATATTTCTATCGGATACGACGTAATTACGTGGAATACAATTTATAGAGTTAATTTTAGAACATGAAGAAAACCAAGTAGAATATTTATACGTGAAATACGTCACGTAAGGAAGCGCTATTTTCACTTATACGTAATTCTGGCGCTTACCGCACTCGTGCCAAGAAGTGATGTCGAAGACCTGAAAGCACGTTCACCTGTGTTTCATGCCATTCGACACGTCCTCCACCCGTATTTTGTGGTCACGTGTCACCGAGGATATCACGTTTCAAATACATCACGTGACTTTCTATTACAGATTTTTTTTTTTTTATTTGAAAAAAAAACAGACCACTATTCAATTCCGAAAGAAATATTGAAATCTCGAAAATTTCTTTCTCGCGTGCAATTACTCATAAAAATCCGAAAACTTTGTCAAGTTGTAGTCAAGTAATAATCCTCCCTTAAATTGAATATTATTTTTAAATATATTTACCAGTTTAATAAAGAATGAAATATTTACAGGAACAGGGAGTATCATGCTCCCTATGCGATACGTGATGGCGATCATGGGTTCTATTGGACTCGCCATCATTTATGGGTTTAAGGTAAACGTAAGCGTAGCGATTGTGGCTATGGTAAACCACACTGCTGTAAAACTATCCTCGATGCATGACTTACGAGTCGAGAATACAACTGCGATTACCGCGGAAGAGTGTCACCACGACAGTGTTTCTTCTGATATGGCAAAAGCTGTCGTCGAGGTACATAAATTACATATTTATATTATTATATCTTTTAGTAGAGTATAGCAATAAAAAATTGATACGACCGCTCCTCTAAATCAGCAAAAAGCATTTTAAAATTCTTTCGGAAATACATAGCTCAGAGTTCAATATAACAGAATCGTGCGAAAACTTTAGTTTAATAATAACGAGTTTAATAATAAACTCTACGAAATAAGTTGAATAATGTATCGTACTGTCCGAATATTTTTCATGTACAATATTTCTAATTTCCCTGAAAGATTTTTCCAATTTTCCAATTAAAAATAATTGATTTTCCTAACTTCTAGACCCGTTTCTTCGCTTTTTCTGCCCATGATCGTGAATTATTCAAACGAGGTGATATAAATGGAAATCGATGCTTACTGAATGCATTTCTTTATTATAATGACCTTTTTACACGACAACTTCAAACAAGTGCTCGTCTAAGTTTGTAGATAGCGTTTCTTTTACGCAATTCGGTAGAGTGGGCAAATAAATAATTTGGTGACGTGAAAACACGCTTTTTTTTTTTGTAATTGAAAAACAAAATTTTTTAAATATTTTGCACGAATCTGTTACATTGAACTGTAAGCTATGTATTTCCAAATAAAAGTTATTATTATCATTAAAAACAAAAGTGAAAACAAACAGTTAGTGGGCGAGTTTGAAATAAGAGTACAATTGAATGTACTTAATTAATTTATTTATACAGGATGGTCCGTTTGTATGGAACGAACCATTGCAAGGTCTTATTTTATCGTCCTACTTTTGGGGGTATATGGCGTCGTTGCTTCCGGGAGGAAGAATGGCTGAACTATTATCCGCGAAATGGGTGATGAATGGATCCGTGCTTCTGAACGTCGTAGCGTCTATACTATCACCTGTTGCTGCCCAAATCCACTACTCCCTCTTCATCGTGATGAGAGTCATTCAGGGAATCGGTGGAGTTAGTATCGAGACACTATTAAAACAATAAATATAAATCCATGTATTGCTTGCCATATTTAAAACAAATATTACAATTAAGCTGCGATTTCATTCATTTATGATGTATATTATATGGAATACATATGCAGAATACAAATTATATAATAACATAATAATATAAATATTCTATTTTCCTATACAGTGTAAAATCGTAATTGTATAGTATAATAGTGAGTAATACAGAGATATTTTGTACTATAGGGTGTAACATTTCCTGCTATGCATGTCATGGTCGCCAAGTGGGCTCCACCGAATGAGAGAAGCGTTCTCGCCTCGATCGTTTATGCGGGTAAACAATCACTTTCTATTGCAATATGTGTCTTCTTCTTTCGCTATAGAAGTAAACATTTGCTTGCTACAGGAACCGCGTTAGGTACTGTGATTTCTATACTTCTGACGGGTATACTAGCCGCAAATCTCAATTGGACATGGATATTCTACATAGAAGGAGCACTTTGCTTAATTTGGTGCACTGTCTGGTGGATATTGATCGAAGACAGCCCGGAAGAACAAACGAAGTTTATTACCCAAGAAGAGAAGGACTACATCATGCAGTCTTTGGGCCACAGTAAAAATGTCATTGAAAAAAAAGAGGTTTATTGATTGTTATTAAATTAATGTTTAATAAAATTGCTCGTGTATTTAAATATTTCATAGTATTTCACTTTACAGAGATTAGCGGTTCCGTGGGGGGAAGTCCTAAGGTCTAAGCCATTTATGGCTATTTTAATAGCACACTTCTGTAGCAATTTTGGTTGGTACATGTTGCTTATCGAGCTGCCTACATTTATGAATCAGATTTTAAAATTCGACATGAGCTCGGTAGGTATTATTGCTTCAAATTAGATAGAAAAAATATCTAATTAACGTGACGTCAAAATGTTTTTGTTCTCAGAACGCTGGTCTCTCTTCCATGCCATTCTTATGCATGTGGATTTTCACTATGATTCTTAGTAAGGTACTAGCCGTTATGCAGAGTAAAGAATGGATCACGGTAACAACGTCGAGAAAAATTGGGACACTCTTTTGTAAGTTTCTCATTGATATCATCCAGTGTGTATATTAGAAACATGAAACGAATATAATTAAAAATTATTCCAAACGTTATTTTCAGCATCTATAGTACCCATGATCTGCTTAATAGGAGTATCTTATGTTGGCTGTAATCGAATATTAGCTGTCGCATTAATGACAATTGGAGTAACTTGTATCGGTGGAATGTATAGTGGATTCTTATCGAATCATATCGATATTGCTCCAAATTTTGCTGGTACACTCGTTGCTATTACAAATTGTGTCGCTACTATTCCTGGATTTGTAGTGCCGATATTTGTAGGAAAATTGACGCACGGAAATGTGAGTAATTGTATCAGCGTCTTATTATTTATCCATTCAAATCTGAATGCACAAGAATATTTTAAATATAATAACACTTTATTCGTTGACTATTTTATATATTTCTATTTACAGCAAACTATAGGAGCCTGGCGAATCATATTTTTCGCGACTGTCGGATTGTACATAGTTGAAACGATAGTTTACACTATTTTTGGAAGCGGTGAAGAGCAGCCCTGGAACAAAACTAAACCAACCGACGAAGAAGCAAGCGATCAGACATTATCTTTAAAAGACGATACTAGGATGTAAATTTAATTTATGCATAGAACGACTTGAAACAATATTTATTAATGTCGTACGTATATAATATCACAGTATTACTATAAATACGCATTTTTTCGACCTTATATCATGTTAAAATAAGAACTGTTATTTTATTATCTGTACATAAAAAAGACAGTAGATAAAAAAAATGGGGCCCTTTCACACAAAATGACTTTTTTTACAACAATTTGTATTAAGCGTCAGAAATTACACATTGAATAATATTATTTAAAATACTATAAGATCATATGTAATTATACAAATATTTACAGTTCAGGTACAGATGTTATCCTAAATTTTAAAATGTATTTTCGACTCACTTACCTTTATCGTACCCTTACTATTTTACAAAAATACATCGGTCCCCAATTACTACCGAGACTAGGGACAACGATATGACCATACTTTAAATCAATATCGCCAAATCTATAGATACACTTCAAAGGCGACAATGCTTCCGTCATATCTCTACAACAATTATATAGAATACAAATAATAGCTACAAATAGTACGAATAATCTTACTAAATATACGTACTTTACGATCATAACGGAATCACTTTCTTCCCATGCTCTTTTTAATGCTACGTGCACAACACCATCGTTTTGTATAGGACTGAGGGAGCATGTTGCATAAACAACAATGCCTCCAACTGATACCAACTTTAATGCATTTCTAAAAAGAGGAAGTATATTCATTGAATACCATGTCAAACAAATAACATATATATATGTATATATGTGTCATAATACATGTACACTAACGTTAAAATTTCAGATTGAAGTTCTGGGATTTGTAATCTTTCCTTAAGTCTAGAAGGTTTAAACATATTGTTTTCGTCACAGTGTAATACATGTCTATCTGTTGTGCACGGCACATCGACTAAAATCTAGAAAAATATAAATATTGACGCATTAAGTGTACGTTTTAGAACACACATTATTTAAGAGATGTTAATCGATAAATAAACGTTTAGCAGTACCTTATTGTATATATCTTTCTCGTCTATTACTCGAGCATCCTTTTCTGTTACAAATAAACTTTGCTCATCACATAAATTTAATACGTACTGCTCCATGACATTGTTTATTCTGTTCACTCTAGACTCCATTCTATCATTAGCCACCACCACCTTAGGCAAAAGCGTTTGAAGAATAGTTAAAGTTTTACCTCCAGGTGCTGCACACATATCGAGCACAATATCACCTAATTGTAAATCAAGGGCTAATATTGGTAATATAGATCCTCCATCGAACAAATAATAATCTAGAAAATAAAACTTCTTTATCAATAACATTTACATGCATCTGCTTCGGTATTTTTCTAACTTCATCACAAACCATCACATACATATTCAATATATTACTTAGCCCAAAATTAAGAAAACAATACAAACCTAGAACACCAGTGGTTCCTTTTTTTGGATTTGGGAACCTGGCTTTACTTTCTCCTTCGAAAGTATATGCATGCAAATGTTTTGGGAATGGAAGAACATATTCTTTTACAATATGTACTTTAAACTCAGGTGCTTTATTGTAAAAGTCATAATGATCGGATTCGAGTACCCAATCATCCAAACCTGTGAAATTCATTTATATAAATCTAATACGTTAATCATTAATGTTTTAATAAAAAATGTTACTTAAACTAACCCTTTATTTTTGTGGCAGGTATATACTCGTGAAGCAGAGATAAATTTTTGGATGAATCAATGATACGATTAGTTTCTACAGCTACTTCATTTAAATCTTTATTTATAGATTGTAATTTTATAGATTGTAGTGGTTCCTGAGTTTTAATCAACTCTTCATTTTCTTCTGATGTTAACTCCTTTGGTATATGTTTATGATCAGCTGGATAGATTGACTCAACTTTAGTTGACTTAATATTAGATATAAAAGTATCTATTGAACTCTGATCATTTTTAGTCTCAATAGTTTCGGACTTGGGAGAATGAGCTATAGTTTCATTAAATACATTGTATAATGTTTTCAAATTGAAGGCACCAAGCAACTAAAATAATTTGTATTGTGTTAACTTCAACTTTGTTTCTAATCAATAAGTTTAATATATAAATTCATAACAAAATATACTATATAATAATAACATTTATGACAACAAACATACCTCCAAATCTGATTTTATCCTTTCTGTATCACTAAAATTATTAACCACAGCTATATATTTACTTTCTTCTTTCAGTAATGCAGCCCGTATGAACTGCCAATTATCTCCATATACAGACCCATAAAATTCATCAAAGTGTTTCAATGCTTTGTCTTTTGCAGTTTTCTTTTTCCTTAATACAGTCTGTGAAATGTAATTATTTAACAATTATTAAAGAGAATGCATTTGCAACATGTTTACAGTTAAACAGAATAATCAATTGTTAATTATAGAAGTACATGAATACAAACCCAATGATTTGGTCCGTGTTTGCACCTAACCGATACTTTTACGAGTTCTCCTAATCTTAATTTATTAAATAGCAGAGCCATTTCTTTAGAATGTTCACAAAATGTATTTAAAAAGTTTTAGCATGTTGAGGTTATGCGCTTCGTGAAGTTTCAAACGAAAAACAGAGGGTGCTTACCACTGAAATAGTCAGACACCAGGGTCGGTTACATGCATTGGTGGGCCCAATGCAGAACAAAAATATATTTTTATTTCTGTATAACATTAATTTTAAATGAAAGATTTTATATAGTAGTTCGTTCACAAAGCAATAAATAAAATTATTATCAATTTCAAAACGACGTTAGAAAAAAATCAAGCAACGGGCATGACTCTCCGAATATGGAATTCTATGTATTGTTATAACGTATTTATTATACTATTATCTATATTATCTTATCATACTACTTTATTGTAGTACTATATCTATTTTATGAAACTATTAGAATGTTATCTTCTTATGCTCTTATATACTTATATTATATAAAATAATATACCCTACGTATCGAATGTGATATTAGTTTAATACTTGCACAAATAAACTATTTATAAATTTTTTTCCAGTGAAAAGTAACCTGTGTATAGTTTAGAAATCGCAATTCCCTTTTTTTTTGTGAGAATTCTCAGTTACGACAGATGTTATATCGTATGGTAGCTGTATAGTTGTGCTTTGTAAAGTAAACATTGTTATTATTTTAAAAAGTTTACATAGCATCTGTTTTCGACAACTCCCTACCGCTCGTCAACCTTGCTGGTCCATGTCCTGAATTGCAACATTTGAAATCCGATAACCCTTAGATACGCTCACTTCTTTCTTACAACGTTTATCTAAGACGTCTAAGGGAAATTATTGTAAAACTTTATTGATTTCTGAGATATTCAAATGAACAATTTACCTATAAAAGAAGAAACGAAAATGAACTGTCCTAAATAGCGTTTACGATACGTAAACAGTCAAAGCGAACGCACCCAGAGCTCAGAGGTGCCAAGGGCGGTAAAACGTGTTACAAGATATCGCCAACCGATGGCGTCACCTGTGCATTCGGTTTTCTTTTAAACGCAAGAAGTGGTCGACGTCGATTAACCGTTAGTGAGAACTGTGTAAAAGAAGAAGGGCGTGAACTGCAGGCACAGGTGAAGCAGGACACCGGCAAATCCACCCGTTACGGTACTGTTGAAGCTACTTGACTAACACTGGCCGTCGCGTTTCCTTTTTTTTTTCCTTTATCAGTTCAACGCTTGTTTCTGCGTAAACCGATTTTTGTTCCGCTATCCTCGCGTTCTTTATCGCGGCAGGCGCGACAGAGGGAAACATACAAAACAAGACACGCAATACGTATCGTAGCTACATATTATCAGATGCGGACACGACAAGGAAGCGACGTATTCGTCGTGACATCGAGATGAGAAACGTGCCGAGCAAGATGGAGCGAATGAGGGATGGTGGGGACTGGGGGGAGGGGGGGACAACACATCTTTGCGCTCCCCTCTTGCGAAGGCGCCCGTGCGCTATGAAACGTGGCTGTTTCGAAAGTTTCAACTCGAAGAGCCTATTTTAGATGCTATAAACCGTTTCGACTTGTAAATCGTTTTCGGCGGTGTACAGGTCTCGGTACCTGAACAATAGGATTGGAATGGATCCCGGGAACTTGGAGGTTTTCCCGATGATTTACGATACGCTGCCGCGCGGAATTTTTTTCTTCCCGTAATTCAAACGTTAGGTTATGTCGCGTCGCATCGTCCCTCGATTCTATACGCGTTTTCGAGAACACGGGACTCGACGTGAAAATAGCGTCGCCGCCATACACCTCGAATCTCGAGATATCGAAGTTCTCGCAACGCGATTCAAGTTGTAAACGACTAGAACTCCTTCGCGAAAGTTTTATAAGCAGGTCTCGAAACACGACTTTAAAGTTGACCGTTGTTTCAAGTGTTATTATCGCAAGGGTGACACGCGAATAAGATATTTGTTATTCGAATAACGGAGACGGGCGAAAAAGTAGTTCTATTCGTTATGTAAATGATAAAGGGATGTATAAAACATGAAGTGTGCATGCCTGTGTGTTCGTTAGCATGTGTACGTGGGATATTGTATGCGGTATTTCTGTTCTGGATGTCATTTTTGTGCGGATCGGATGTTTTTTGTGAGTACGTGTAATTTTATTTTTAATGTGGTTTCTATGTGGTTAATAGCGAATTTTTGCTTTTCACGTATGTTTTTGTGTGGTATTTCTCGCATTTTTGTTCGGTGTATGATTTTTTGTACCGCATCTGATTTTTATATCGTTTTTGTGGTACCTGTTGCTTCTTTGCGTGTAATGTATTTATTGTGTGGCATTTGTGTAGTTTTTTTCTAGGTCATGGAAAATGCTATGCAATCTATACAAAAATTCTAATAAAAAATCTATACAATAATGTTTTTTTAGAAGGTTGGTAATTTAACATTTAAAAACAAAAAAAACGATTAAATATTTCTACTTCAACTAAAGTTATAAATGATTGAATATGAAGGCACAGAATTAATGTTTACATCTAATATATTGTATCATTTAATAGCTAAAGAATACAAATTTATTTGCAACAAACGTATTAAAATTTATCTAGATAAAGCGTTAGTCGGTATACGTTATGTAGATAAAAGTGTATCCATCTCTGCTAGACAGGCTTTGAGTCTCAAGTTCTCAGAGCTCGAGGTACTGTTCAAGCCATAAACTCTACCCTACCCTACCCTACCCTTTAGGGTCGAATCTCACCTCTTACATGCAAGCTTCGAGGAGCTCAGCCTTTAAGGTTGAGCCTTAAAGGGTGGTTTCTACTTTCGGTCGTTAAAATGTGGTCGAAATTAATATGACGTAAGGTGACCTATTTTTGCAAGAGTGTGCAGCGTTTATGTGCCGTAATATGGTCACGTTAAGGTTAGGACTGAAGCTATTTACGAAGTATTCGGAATCCGAATTTCTCCAAAACACCGAATATCCGAATATCGGTTACATTAACACCTGTTGGATTTTTAAAAAACACAGTTTATACATATATCTGCAAAACTATTCTGAATATTTTCATATCGGATTCATGAGTAAATTTATAATATTTCGGCAGGATTACGATTTCCGTGGCGCCGCGATTTCACTGCGTCTTTATTTAATATAATTTATCAGAAAAATAATGCTGTAAATTTTCTATTATGTTTAGAAGTTATATTCATTTCAAGTTTGTTAACATCATATTTATAAGGTAAACGGAATAGAGAATTGGTTTACGGCACTGTTTCTCTGATAAATTATATTAAATATAAACACGGTCAATTGTCCTGCGGCTTATTCATACATATTCACCGATATATTCAATCATGGTCAACGTGATAATGATGTATTAGATAATGTAAACAAGTCAAACAAACGTGATGTTATGAAACTTTAAGTAAATACAACTTGTAAAGTAAACACGATAGAGAATCACTGTTTGCGACATTGTTTCCTACAAAATTGTATGAAATAAATACACGGTGAAATCGCGGCGCTACGGAAATCGTAACGACGGCCGAATACTTTATTCGCGCGTTCGGATGAAACTCCTAGCCCTTGTTAAGGTTAAGCTCGAAAGCTTGGACGACTCCCAGCTTTATACCTTGCTATCGTGGAAACATTTCGACGTGTCCCGATATCAACAATGCGAGGTTGTGAATCGAGCGAGGCCGGCGCGATAATCTTGTTACCCTCGAAACGCGTACAACATACCGGTGAAAGTCTCCACTGTACGGTAGACACGAGAGTTCAGTGTTCTCGAGGGGAACGAAAGGAGAACGTTGCGCCGGGAGATCAGCTCTTTTGCTCCGTGGAGATCAGTTTAGTCTATGGGGTGCGGTAAAACCCTATGCGCTCCACACACTTGCACGGTGTGCATGCGTGTTCATTGTCACGCATACAGAAACTCTTCCTCTCGATGAATCTCGACGACCCGAATCGCTCGACAGCGAAGCTGGTTTCGTGGATCTCTTCATGAGAGGCACGTCGTACGCGATTTGTCGGGGCACGGGGTGTGACGGGGACTCGAGGCATCGTAAAGGCAATGCACTGTAAGGAGCTCACGACGACTATACCCTCTCCCAACCCCTCCCCTTGCCCCCGCGCCGTCCGCCCTACCTCTCGATCTTTTGCCACCGTCCCTTTCTCTCCCTTCTTTCTTTTCGTTCCCTCTCTGCCTACCCTCCTTCTCTTTCCCTCCCTCGTTCCCTCTCTTTCTCTCTGTCGCTCTTATCAGAGCCTCGACTGCACGACCTCACTCATACTCTCCCGTTCTATTGCTGCTCGGCTGATCTCTCGAGGAGGGGCGCGTTAGGGCGCTTCGCCAGCCACTCGCGCATCTTAAACGTTTCTGACTTGGTGCGTGCCGAAATTTTCTTCATACCATATTCTTTCTGTCCTTCTCTCTGGCCCTCGGACTCTCCCATCAAACTCCACCCTCGCCCGCTCTAACGTTGCTTGCCTAATAAATCGCAGAACGGCAAGATTCGACGGGTAGGGTGCAAGTCAGAGTCGGGTCTTTTTTTACCCATGCCGATGATCTTTTATTTATGCACTCATCTCTCGATTACTGACGTGCTTTCTATGACCATCTCATTTCATGCGATGTCGATTCAAATGATCGAGAAGAGGACTTTTTTCTTCAAAACTTGATCCACAACCTACTTTCAACATTATTCTAACCTTATTTTGGTTGATTCGCGACGAGTTAACCAAATGCTGTTGTTTAGATAATTCTTCTTAGATGTCTCTGTTCGATCTTCGTAGTATTTAATCGTTCATCGTAAAAATGAAATCGAGATGACTGATAACTAATGACCGTTCACCAACGATGGATAACGATTGATAGCAATGGGTGACGATTGATGACGCTTGATTGGTGATGGATAATTTCCCTTCTACCTTGCAGCGCGCCAATGTAGAAGGGAAATTGTAACCCTCAGGGGCTGTAGCTATGTTTAATCGTAGCTACGGTACGGGCTTAGCGATCCCGAGGTACCCGAGCCGAATAATGTAAAGCATGGTAATATAAGAAGTTAAGGATTGATATAAAACGATGTAAATGTGATATAGTAGAAGAACGCATATGTGCAAGACTGGTAACAAGCAAGACTGGACCGATAAGTACAATAATCGATGTGAAACAGATTACATACCCTTATAAAATAAAGAAAGAAACAAACAAAATTTG